CAGGCCTGATTCCCCACAGGAAAACCTGTCTGTGGGCATGGGTCCTGTGCATCTCCCAGTGGGAGCTGGGCCCATGCCATGCAGAGTGGCCTCCCACAGCATGCAAGGTTTCTTTTGAGAAATAGCTGATAGCCTAATGGGAACTCCTTTGTAAGTAACTCTCTTCTTTCCCTTTGCTGCTTTTGAGATTCTGTCCTTATCTTTAATCTTGGGTGGTGTAATTATAATGTATCTTGGTGTGTTCCTTCTTGGGACCAATTTCTTTGGGACTCTGGGATTCCTGGAATTCCTGGAAGTCTATTTCCTTTGCCAGATTGAGGAAGTTTTCCTTCATTATTTGTTTAAATAAGTCTTCAATTTCTTGCTCTTGCTCTTCCTCTTCTTCTAGCACCCCTGTGATTCTGATTTGGAGAATTTGAAGTTGTCCCAGATGCTCCTGGATAGACCTGGAGACTATTATGCTAAGTGAAAGCCTCTCCTCATTTTTTTTTTTGAATTTTTGTTTCTTCTGTCTATTCCATTTGGATGTTTGTTTCTTCCTTTTGTTTGAAATCATTGATTTGAGTCCTGGTTTCCTTCCTTTCACTGTTATTTCCCTGTGTATTTTCCTTTTTCACACTTTGTATAGCCTTTATTTCTTCCTTCATTTTGTGACCAACCTCAATCCATTTGTGAGCATCCTGATTACCAGTGTCTTGAGCTCTGTATCAGATAGGTTGTCTATCTCTCCATTGCTTAGTTCTTTTTCTGGAGTTTTGATCTGTTCTTTTATTTGGACCATATTTCTTTTCTTGGCACACCTATTATGTGATAAGAGGTGGAGCCTTATGTATTCGCCACAATGGGGCAACCCTCTTTGCTTCATTGTGGTGCTCTTATAGAGGAGGGGTCAGAGAGTGAACAATGCCACTCCCTGGGCTCTCATCCCACTTTCTGTCATGTCCCTTACTTTCTACAAGTGGATTGTGCCCTTTCAGTTCTGAATCAGAGGTGGGTGGGTTTGTGTACCTCTCCAATGGACTCTTGTGTGAGACTGGGAGTTTCCCCTGCTTCAGCAACCCCCACAGATTTTTTATAGCCAGGGGTTTTGAGACTCTAGTTTTCTGTGCTGAAACCCTGGGTTGCACTGTCTGTCTTGTTCCCTCATTGTTTATCCTGGTTTTTCTGCCTCAAATGTGGTATCCCCCATGTGGTCTGCCACCTTGCCTTGCTGCATGTCCTCTCCACCCTGGATGTCCATCTCCACCCCTCCTACCAGTCTGGATGAATGTTTCTTTAACTTCTTGGTTGTTGGACTTCCATACAGTTTGATTTCTTGTCAGTTCTGGTTTTTCTTTGTTTTTAAATTGGTTGTTATCCTTCTTTTGGTTGTGTAAGAAAATGAAGCAGTTCTGCCTATGCCTCCATCTTGGCTGGAACCTCCAAATTAGCGGGCCTTATGTTCTTCATGGAGATTATAGTCCTCAGGAAAAATAAAATAATATAATCAAATACTCAAAAAGACTCTGGCCAAATTGTGCCAGGAAATCCATGAGACCTGGCCTAAATTACTACCAGTTGCCCTGATCCAGATCAGGGCAGTGCCTAAAGGAATGCTTAAATTAAGTAATTTTGAATTTACATATAGTAGGCCCTTTTTGGGCTCTTTTCAAATGTTAGGATGTCCAGACTCATTGATAGAACAGGCTATTAAATATAGTATCCAATTATGAAGAGTAACTAGACACAAACAAATGTGCTAATCTGATTTCACCCACACCAATTAATACTAAGATACACCTATATAATTCAGGAGACTGGATATTTAAAAACAAAAACAAAACAAAACCTTAGAAATCAGGATTCCTACAAGATCAACCAAACCCAATATGGACAAGTTCTTATTTGGTGTTATTAATAATTCACTCATCTCTTAAACCACAAGCTATAGCTTCTTGGATATACCACTCTTGAAGTAAGCCAACTATACCACCAAGTGAGAATAATGAACCAGATCCACAGTACTCCTACCAACTTCTATGTTACCTCAAGTTGCTCTTCAAAAGACAATATAAGTGATGAATATATGTATTCCTGTTCTCAGAAATCCCAGAACCAAGGGGACCTATAAGTCAGGCAGCCAGAGAATGTCACTCCTCTGATTCAAGTATGTACTCCACCCATGTTCAGCGGGAGGTAGTTACAAAAGTATGACCCTTGTCCCCATTCCCTCAAGGATGAGTGAAAAATATCAGAGAGGAATTATTAGATAGGACAAGGGTCTCAAGGTCTGGGATTTTTTCACTAAGTGCTATTCTGCAGTACAGTTGTAAACAGGATTAGCTTGACAGGAATTCAACCTGATAAGTGTAGTCAATTGCAAAGAAGAAATCAATGTATAATTGATCAAACAGTGTATATAAGCAGTGGCTAATCACCCTTCAGGGGGACAAGGTTTTGAGTGTGAATTCCCTCTTTTACTTATTGCAAGTAAATAAAACTACCTTGCAACAACTATAGCGGGTTCTTGAATAGAACACCCCAAGCATAAATTCCTGTGAGTTCAGTAACAATAACAGGAGAAACTGCCCTCCTATCTCCCACCCCACCTTTCTAGCTGAATCAACCTTTCAATACTTTTGCTGATTACTTGAGGAGTATTCCCACCAAAAATATATAACCTAAAATCTAATCATAAAGAAACATTAGACAGACCCAAATTTAGGGAATATTCTGTAAAATAATTGATCTGTGTTCTTCAAAAATGTCAATGTTTTGAAAGACAAAGAAAGGCTGAGAAATGTTCTAGATTTAAGGGATATGCCAACTAAATGCAATACATAATTCTAGACTGGAACCTATATGTGAAAAATTGCTGTTAAAGACATTATTGAGTCAATTGTCAAAATTTGATCAGATTTAGAATACTGTATTATTTTCAGATTTATAATATTGCAATTAATACTGTTTTGTATTAAATAAAAGCTTTGTATTTGTTAAAATACTGTATTTATTATTAGATATTATATCAAATTAATTCTATATTATATTAAAGTGTTGTATTCCGTTTTAGAATACTGTATTCTATTCAAGTTTAGAATACTGTATTTAGATATTTTTTATCCTCACCTGAGGATATGTTCAGAGAGAGAAAGGGATGAAGGGAGAGAGACAGAAACATCAATCAGTTGCTTCCTATATGCTCCCAAACCGGAGATCAACCTAGGTATATGTCCTGATCCCTGAATCACACCTGCATCCTTTTTGATGTACTGGATGATTCTCCAACCAACTGAGCCACACTGCCAGAGCTAGATCATTGTACTTAGATTTACATTAAAATATTGTATTCAGATTTTCTGAAGTTGAAAACTACCCAGATTACATAAGATACCATCCTTATTCTTAGGAAGTACACATATTATGAGATAAAGAGGCAGATACAGCCATATAGAAAACAATATTAAAGTTCCTCAAAAAATTAAAAATGGAACTACCATATAATCCAGTAATCCCACTTTTGGGTTTATATCCAAAGGAGATGAAATCATGATCTATAAGCATTGTCTGCACTCCTACATTTATTGCAGCATTATTCAAAATACTAGTACATGGAAACAAACTAAGTGGTAATTGACAGATAAATGGATAAAGAAAATGTCACATGCATGCACACACATATGCTTGTACACACACAATTGAGCATTCAGCCATGAGGAAAAAAGGAAATCTTGCCATTTGCAACAACATGGATAGACTTTGAGGGCATTATGCTAACCAAGTAAGTCAAACAGAGGAAGACAAATATTGACAAATGAGACAAATTTTTCATTTCCTGATTTTACAATAAGGATAGATGACATTTAACTTTTACAATAGTATGGAAGTAGGCCAAAGAAAGGGAGTCCTTATTTTTTCATCCAGAAAAATGAGAGAACCTGGCCTCAACTGACAGATGACTGCACCAATTTCCAGAGGAAACCCTTGCAAGCAGTGTTTCTGTTTTCCTTTCAAGCTCTGCCTCCTTCAAGAAGCTCTACATGTACCCCTCAGCTTTCTCTGGACTCCGAACCCTAAAAGGTGAATTAGATATGGTCACTGCCTCATAGGAGTTTACAAAGCAACAAATGATGTGTGCTGCAGCCTGAAGAATGAAATGCTTTAGATGTTCCTCGACTGAAAGGGGATAGTGGTGGGGGAGGCTGTCAGGGGTCAGCGAAGATATGAAGACATGCAAGTGTGTAATAGAAGGAGTACCTTGAAAGGCAAACACATTACGCAGTACTTATTTTTACATAATAAATAAATGGCAAAGGAAATACATGAAAGGAAATAATAATGAAATCCAAGTCATTAAAGTGCTTTCAAACATAAATTTTAAAAGACCAAGAAACCTGGTCCAATCTTAAAACACTGTTCATAAATAGTCAACAATTGTTTAAATATGGTCCCACATTATTTCAGAAAGGAAGGGGAAAACATGGTTTTCTATGTTTTTTTTTTCCTAAGGAGAATGCAAAATATTTGCCTAATGAGAAAACTGAAATATCTGAAATCAAGTTCAAGACAAAGATAATTCATTCATATGTCTGTATGGGGTCCTCACTCTTTATAAAGATACCTGATTCCCTGGAGGTTAAGTATTTTCTATTTTTGACTTCAGAGTGAGTGTATCAGACCTAACCTTTTAAATGATACAGCATATTGAACCAAATCTCAAATTATACCAAGCAGGAAAATGCTGTTTGAATAAAAATCTTCCCTCCTCAAGTTCTACAGAAGACAATAATTTTTTATACCAAATTCAAGTGCCTTTAAAGAGTGGTTTGCACTCTAGAAGGAAATGGAGTTTTCCCTAAGTCACCCATTTGTCTTCTTAAAGCAAGTAGTATTGAATTTTATCCTAACGGTAGGAAAAATATACAACTGAGATGATTTGTCTTAGATAACTTTCATATTTTGAAAAAGCCAAATTGAATAATTTGCATACTTCCAACCTTTGAGAGTGGGGCCTGTGGGCTTCATAAGGCTCCCACCTTCCCAGGCTGGAGTTCCTCCAGCCCCTCAGAATCTGAGCATCCTTAAGCATTGGCTTCCGGGTGCACTTTCTTGGTCTCCTGCCACATGGAGCTCAATGGCAACATCTTCCAAATTGTTTTCAGGGATGGCTTTGTTGAAGACTTTCTGGGATCTTGCCTGACTTAGACTAGAGCCTTCCTTGAGGTTGTCAAGGCCCCAGAGTCCACTGAGCTTTTCTTCATTTTCTGACTTTCTTATCATCCCCATGGATTTTTTTATGCATCCCTTTCAAAAAAGAAAAAGAAAATATTAAAAATCAGTATTTCTAAGTCCAGCAATTAAATAAATGTCTTCTATGTTCTTGTTCTCTAAGTCCCATTAGAATTGTCCTTGTCAGTACCTCTCTCTGCGTCCTCAGGAGAGTCATGTAGGTTACTCTCACTCTTAGGAGTTGAAACTGGTGTGTGCCAGCCAGATGCAGCCAGCAAATTTTCCTTGTTTCGTACCATTCACTCAAAATGCACAGAGACTCATTATTGTGTGACCAGTTTCCACTGAAGTGTGTGACACAGTGATTTTTTAATTTTATTTAAAAAATTGTGACCAACATTTTAAAATCAGGAGATTATACATCAAAAGCTAGACCTCCAGCTTCTCTCAAAAAGCCAAAATGTCTGGCAGCACTGAGCCCAGTTTCTTTGCATTGTCATGGACCTGCAAATGCTAGTAGGTAGCCCTTCCATCCTCCCTTCCAGTCCTGTAAATTCAGAGGGGTGGGCTTAATTTCCCACTGAACATTTTCTCTTTCGGTCTCCTCAGTCTTTGATGGCAAAGTCAATGCTGTATTTACAGTTAGTATCTCTAGTTCCGGCATAGTGTCAGGATGGAACAGGCTCAAAAAATGTTTGATGAACAAAAACTTTCTCCCTTTCAAACCTAAAATGTCAACCCCAGACCCCTAACTCTAATCTCCCACTTTACCCAGGGTGTTGTGACTCATTTCTCCAACCTGTGATCCCTACCCCTTGGTCTCTAGTAATAACAAATAGACCAATAAGGGTGGCATTTCCTCAGAGCTCCTAGCCCCAAAACTTGAACTTCACCAGTACACCTTGTTCTAGTACCAAAAATCTAAGGGAAACAAAAGTTATGTGGCAGGTTTTAACGGTAAAACCTCTGCCAGGAACCAGACCTGACTTGAGCATGTAGGATGTTCAGCATCTCCAGGTTTCACTGCTTACTCTTCACTGTCCTGTTTCTTATTACCATGAGCTCTAAATCTTGTAGTTTTAAAAAGTTCTAAAGCACTTACATTTTGAGAACATGTTTTATATAATAGAAGTATATAATTTCACTCTTAAAACCAAGGCCTGTTGTAAACTTACCACACACTCTCTACAAAGTTCCAATGAAAAATAAAGCAATTGACCAAAACTTATCTGATGTGATATTCTGGGCCTGGATCTGAGTAAACACTTAAATTGTTTTGCTTTGCAAGTGGCTGCCTCACATGGGGACACCACTCCCAACATCTCTGGCTCTTCTGCTGACTGCAGGACCCTCTTACTAAGGAGCTAAGGCTCACAGAAACTCCACGCTGCCTTCGGCAGAGTTGAGGATGGAGTTAGGCAAAGGGATAACAGTGTTGCACCATGGCTCTGTAAAACCTGTAATGGGCCATCACGTTGCTGCCACCCCAGTGCTTCTCCTGCTTCCACCATTTGGCCTTCTGGTTTTGAAACCAGATCTGGTATGAGGCAGAAGGAAACATTGTGACTAAGGTGCTTGAAGGTGTCCCTGAGTGGAGAATTCTAAAATGGGACACCTAGCCTACCTAACTCAGTTATTTAGATCATCATCCTGATATGCCAAACTTGCAGTTCAATTCCCAGTCAGTGAACATATAAGAAGCAACAAATGAATGCATAAATAAGTGAAACAAAAATCAATGTATCTTTTGCTTTCTCTCTTTCTCCCCCTGACTCCTCCTCTCTCTTCCTTCCTCAGTCTTCCTAAAAAGATGAATAAATAAAATGGGTCAACTGGGGAAGCTCATAGTACACACAACTTTCAGGAACTGTGCCCACCATTCACTCAAAATGCACAGGAACTCATCATTATGTGACTAGCTTCCACTGAAGTTTCCCATGGAATTGATAAAAATAAAATTATTCTTTACTGCATTATGCAAAGAAATCAAGTGTAATTTTTTCTGATTTTTCTCATGGCTTGGAAAGAGTTCACTCAGTCAATGGTCCTTCAAATCTCAAAAGAGATTAGAGGAGATCGGAAGAGAGGGAAGGGAAGGGAAGGGAAGGGAAGGGAAGGGAAGGGAAGGGAAGGGAAGGGAAGGGAAGGGAAGGGAAGGGAAGGGAAGGGAAGGGAGGGGAAGGGAAGATAAGGGAAGGGAAGGGAAGGGAAGGGAAGGGAAGGGAAGGGAAGGGAAGGGAAGGGAAGGGAAGGGAAAAGATTATCCCTTCTTGTGTTGCTGGTGATATTTCTTATGGAAAACTATTAGCTTAAGAAATACTATAGAACACAGGTGGCAAACACAAGGCTGGTGGGCTGAATCTGGCCCTCCACCTCATTTTATCTGACCCAGAACCTTGTTTCTACCGAGCAGCAGCACCAAGCTCTTTGCCCTAGTTAAGGGGTAGTTACTTTTATACAGTCCTAAAATTACATTTGGCCCTTTGAAGGCAACCACAAGGCTGATGTGGCCCCCAGTGAAAATGAGTTTGACACCCCTGGTGTAGATATTATATAGCTATTAAAAGAGTGATTTGTGGCCTATCTTCTGACTTAGACAAATGTCCAAGATGTGTTGTCAAGCAAAGAGGCAAAGTGTTATAACAAAATACCTTTTGGAAAAACAAAACAAAATTTTATATGTATGTGAATATAAATAAATCTATCATCTATGTAGATCTATCTAATCTACATAGTTCATGGCCAGATATATATGACTTGGAGACAATGTGCATAAAGACCATATCAGGCTACTTATATTGGTTTCTTTGAGGGTTTACAGTGGACAATGGTCACTTTCTTTCATTGATATATCTTTATGTAGTTTCTAGTTGCAGCACACAATGCTGTGATTTTAAAGAATGATTCAATAAAAGGAAAAAAGGCAAGAAGATTACAGGGGATATCTTCTTATAATAAATGCAAAGGAAGGCTCTGGCACTATGGTGCCTGCAGCTGTGTAACCCTCAGTTTGCCTGTGCAAGGGAATGTATTTGGTTGCTTACAGTTGGCTGTGGGTCACACTGTGTATACTATTAACATATTCTCTATGGTGTCTTCAAGAAGAAGTGAACGCCAGACACCTGTATTTGGTCTTTAGGGAGCTCAGTTTTCATGGCTAGTATTTCCCAGGCATAAATGTCAGGGTAGTGTGCCTTGCTAAATCCCTTCTCCAGCTGTTCCAGCTGCTGGACAGTGAAGACAGTTCTGCAAGAAGGCCCAAAAGGCACTTGGGAACGTGTCCAAATGAGGATACCAGGCTTCCCAGCTTCCAGGCCCCATGCCTACTTCCCCTACTGTCCACACCCTGAAAAGCTGAATAATAATTGAACACCCCACCTCTGAATGAATAAGCTGTGGAAAGTGCAGAAGTTTGGTCCAAATAAGATAGGGTAGTTCTTCAGCATTTTTTTCTCTTCAATGTATTCTATAAACTCATTCTAAGAAGACCCACTTTAATGGCCAACAAAACTGTATCTTTTAAATGCTGTAAATACTGTCCTGTGGCTTCCTGCGAATTGCAGAATTATCTTCTTAAAAGGTTACTATACCCTACCCACTGCCAAACTGGAGGCCGCTGGGCCTGCCCTAACACATGCTGCCCACAAGAGATACCTCAGAACAAAAGAATAACACAGCTGACACTGAAAGGCTGAAAACAAATATTCCAAGTGACTGAACAGGGAAAAGAAGCCAAGATAGCAATACTTATATCAGACAAAATAGACTTCAAAACAAGGGCCATAAAGAGAGACCAAGAAGGTCAGTTCATAATACTCAAGTGAAGAATACATTAATGAGATACAAACATTGTAAATATGCATGCACCTAACATAGGAGCACCCAAATACATGAAGAAAATCTTGGAGGATTCCAATAAAGATATTCACAGCAACACAAATATACTAGGGGATTAGAATACCCCACTATCAAAAATTGATAGATCTTCCAAACAAAATATCAACAAAGATATTGTGGCATTGAACAATGTCCTAGATCAAATAAACTTAACTGATATATATAGAGCCTTTCATCTCAAAAAAGAAAAATATACATTCTTTTCAAATGCACATGGAATATTTTCAAAGAGAGACCACATGATAGGACACAAAACAAGCCTCAACAAATTCAAGATAATTGAAACATTTTCTCTGACCACGAGGGACTGAAACTAGAAACCAACACCAAGGAAAAAAACTAAAAACAATCAACTCATGGAGATTGAAGCATGCTATTAAACAGTGAATGGGTCAAGAATGAGATCAAGGAGGAAATCGAAAACTTTCTGGAAACAAATGAAAATGAACTCACAATAACCCAAAACTCATGGGAGATAGCGAAGGCAGTCCTGAGAGGGAAGTCCATAGCAATACAGGCCTACCTAGGAAAAAAAAACAACAACATTTCAAATGAACATCCTAACCCTACATCTACAAGAACTTGAGGAACAACAACAAGAACAGCCCAGAGCAAGTAGAAGGAAGGAAATAACCAATACCAGAGAAGAATTCAATGACATAAAGATTAAAAGCACAATTCTAAGGATTAATAAATCCAGGAGCTGGTTCTTTGAAAAGATAAAATCAACAAGCCTTTAAGTAGGCTCATCAAGAAAAAAAGAGAGAGAACCCAAATGAACACAATCAGAAAAGAAAGAGGAGAAATTACAACTGACACCACAGAAATACAAAGGATTGTAAGAAATTACTATGAAGAACTCTATGACAAGAAATTTGAAAACCTAGGTGAAATGGACAAATTTCTAGAAAAATATAATCTTCTAAAACTCAATGAAGAAGAAGCAAAAAGCCTGAACAAACCAATGACAGCTGACGAATTGAAGCAGTAATCAAAAATCTCCCGACACACAAAAGCCCTGGACCAGATGGTTTCACAAGCGAATTCTACAAAGCATTTAAGAAAGCTAATTCCTATTCTTCACAGACTATTCCAAAAAATCCAAAAAGATGATAGACTCCCAAACTGCTTTTATGAAGCCAGCATCATCCTAATTCCAAAACCAGAAAAAGACACAACAAACAAAGAAAACTTTAGGCCAATATCACTGATGAACATAGATGCTAAAATCCTCAACAAAATCTTGGCAAACTGTATCCAGCAATATGTTAAAAAGATCATAAACCATGACCACGGGGAATTCATCCCAGGGATGAAAGGATGGTAACATATTTGCAAATCAAAAAACATAATAAATCACATAAACAAAATCAAAGATAAAAATCACATGATCAATAAATGCAGAAATCAATAGATGCAGAAAAAGCATTTGATAAGGTACAGCACCCATTTTTGATAAAAACACTCAGCAAAGTAGGAGCAGAGGGAGCACTCCTCAACCTGATGAAGGCCATATATGAGAGACCTACAGCCAACATCATACTCAATGGGCAAAAATTAAAAGCTTTTCCACTAAGACCAGGAACAAGACAAGGCTGTCCACTTTCACCACTTCTATTCAATATAGTATAGGAAGTCCCAGCCACAGCATCAGATAAGAAAAGGAAATAAAAGACATCCAAATTGGAAAGGAGGAAAAAAAACTGTCATTGTTTGCAGATGACATGATAGTGTACATAGAAAATCTTACAGACTCCACTAAAAAACTACTCAACCTAATAAATGAATTTTGCAAACAGTGGAGTACATAGTCAATATCCAGAAATCAGAGGCATTTCTGTATAACAAAAACAGTGAAACATCAGAAGAAGAAATGAGGAAAAAATCTCATTTGATATAGCAACAAGAAAAGTAAAATACCTAGGAATAAACCTGACCAAGGACATAAAAGACCTGTACTCAAAAAACTACACAACACTGAAGAAAGAAATTAAAGAAGACACAAACAAATGGAAACATATACCATATTCATGGATTAGAAACATTAATATCATCAAAATGTCCATCAACCCCAAAAATTTATAGATTCAACACAATACCTATTAAAATACCAGTGACAAAATTCACAGATATAGAACAAATACTTCAACAATTTATATGGACCCATAAACAACCCCGAATAGCTGCAGCAATTTTGAGAAAAAAGAGCAAAGTGGGAGGGACCACAATACCTGATATCAAGCTATACTACAAGGCCACTGTAATCAAAACAGCCTGGTACTGGCATAAGAACAGACACATAGATCAATAGAACAGAATAGAGGGCCCAGAAACAAACTCAAGTCTCCATGGTCAATTAATATTCAACAAAGGGGGCAGCATCATCAAAAGGAGCAAAAATAGCCTCTTCAACAAATGGTGTTGGGAATGCTGGACAGCTACATGCAAAAAAAAAATGAAACTCAACCACCAACTTACACCATATACAAAAATGAATTCAAGGTGGATAAAAGATTTAAATATAAGTCATGACACCATTAAAATCCTAGAGAACATAGGCAGGAAAATCTCAGATATTCCATACAGCAATATTTTCATTGATACGTCCCCTAGAGCAAGGGACATAAAGGAAAGGATAAACAAGTGGGATCTCATCAAAACAAAAAAGCTTCAGCACAGCTAAAGATAACAGCATTAAAATGAAAAAAGAACCAACTGTGTGGGTAAACAAATTTGCCAATGACACCTCACACAAGGGTTTGATCTCTAAAATACATAAAGAACTTACATGACACCACTCTAAGAAGACAAGCAACCCAATTTAAAAAATGGGCAAAGGATTTAAACAGACACTTCTCCAAGGAGGACATACAGAGGGTCCAGAGACATATGAAAAGATGCTCAGTATTGCTAGCCATGAGAGAAATGCAAATTAAAACCACAATGAGATACCACTTCACACTGGTGAGAATGGACATCATAAACAAATCAACAAACAAGTGTTGGAGAGGTTGTGGAGAAAAGGGAGCCCTAGGACACTGTTGGTGGGATTGCAGGGTGGAACAATCACTGGGGAAAACAGTATGGAATTTCCTTAGAAAACTAAAAATGGAACTGCCTTTTGACCTAGCAATACCACTGCTAGGATTATATCCTAAGAACCCTGAAACACCAATCCAAAAGAACCTATGTATCCCAATGTTCATAGCAGCACAACTTAGAATAGCCAAGTTCTGCAAGCAACCTGAGTGCCCATCAGTAAATGAATGGATCAAAAAGCTATGATACATTTACATAATAGAATTCTGCACAGCAGAGAGAAAGAAGGAGCTCCTACCCTCTGTGACAGCATGGATGGAACTGGAGAGCATTATGCTAAGTGAAATAAGCCCGGTGGTGAAAGACAAAAATACCATATGATCTCACCATTAACAGGAACCTAATCAACAAAATGAACAATCAAACAAAGTATAGCCCAAGACACTGAAATTGAGAACAGACTGACAGTGACCAGAGGGGAGAAGGGAGGGGATAATGGGGGAAAAGGGTGAAAGGTTTATAGGAACAATTATAAAGGACATACGGACAATAAGAACGGGGGGGGTGGAAATAGGGGAGGGAGGTGGGAGGGCTAGAGTGGTGGGTAGTGGTGGGGGGAATGGAAGAAAACTGTACTGGAACAACAAGAAAAAATGTTTAAAAAAAGAGAATGTATCAATAAACCTTGGGAAAGAGATCTAAAAAAGTAATAAACATAAAAAATAAATAAAAACAAATCATACAATAAAAACAAGCAAACAAAACAAAAACTAAATAAACAGAAAGAAGAGAAACAAAACAAACACACAAGTTCTGAAAGGACCGCAGAGTGAAATTTATCTCAACAGTTGCTCTTCACCTTCTGACTTGTTTCTGGATCCATCTCAGGTTTTCTCACAGCTCCAGGTTTTACTATCTTACTGTTCAAATTGGGGGGTGGGGATGGGGGTGGGTGGGAAGTTTCCTGCTGATTTTAAACCTGCCATGCCAGTTTTGCAGGTTTTCCTGGGATCCTGCAGGCTGAGGGGCCCTATGCTATGGTGTTTTGTTGTTGTTGTTGTTCTTTTTCCTTTCCTGTGGTTCTTGCAAGGATGGGAGCTCAATCTGGGCTACAATAATCACAGGTGCCCAGTTTCCATCCCTCCCCCTTAAAACACTGTGGGACCCACATTGTCATCTCTGTGATAATCCATCGTGTTTTGCAACCCTTTGATAAGTCCATGAGGTGCACTGAGTGGGAGCACATAGCACCTACCCTCCTCCCTCTTTGTTGGCCTGGCCACTGTGGGTACACAAGTTTCCTGCACTTCAGCCCAGTTCCCCTATTGAAAAAAATCCCTCTAGGTGCTGCTGCCTCTCCTAGCCTCTGCTTCCCCGCTTTGATCAATCCGTGAGGTACCCTGAGTAGAAGGAAATCACGTCTACACTCCCCCTTTTTGCTGGCCCCTCCACTGTTCACCCAAGGTTCATGTGCATGTGAGGTCCCTGCATGGCAGCTCAGTTCATTTTTTGAGAAAAGTCCCCTTGGTGCCACCTGCGGATTCTAACAAGTGCCCAGCTTTCCACACAGCCCAACTCCCTGACTGGTCTGGAGTCTTTCTGGGTCACAGCCAATCATGGCCCATCTCTCCTTTCAGCTCCTTTTGTCACCTGGCTTCCCAATTTCTCTGGTACTATCCCAGCTGGCTATCCTTGCTGCCAGAGCTGGGGTATGTCCCCTGGCTGTATGTCACTTACCACCTTTTTATCCCATGAATGACTTTGCTCATTCCCATCACCCTCCCTCTGGGAGGTAAGGGAGCCACCAGGTTGCTATCACTGACCTGGTTCTCCTCCAATGCTCCCGCTGCAGCTGTGATCTCCTGGTGCAAGGCCCAGGGACTTTTCTGTCAGCCTACAAAATCTCTTTATCACCCATTTTTAAGCATCCTCTGCACACTCTTGCTTCCAAACTTCATATCAGCTGGGATTCTGTTGGCTGTTTACTCTGTTCTTCAAAAGATCAGCTAGGTGTCCTAGTTGGGTGCACAAGTATGTGGGCTAAGCTCCCACCCAAATCGCCACCATCTTCCTCCATCCTTGATTTTCATCACTGTGAATATGTCTTGCCAATCCCTTCAGGTCCACAGCATTTATTTAGAAAAATCAGCTGACAGTCTTATGGGACCTCCCTTGTAGATAACTAACTACTTTTCTCTTGGTTCTTTTTAAGATTCTTTCCTTGTCTTTAGCCTTTGGCATTTTATTTTATTTTACTGTTATTCTATTACAGTTGTCCCTTTTTTTTTTTTTGCCCTTTACCCTCTTCTGCCCATTCTAGGCACCTGCTCTCACACTCAATTCCCACACTATTGTCCATGTTCATGGGTCATTCATACATATTCTGTGACTACTCCCTTCCCCTTCTTTCTCCCATTATCCCCCTCCCCTATACTCTCTGGTCACTGTCAGTCTGATCTATTTTTCAGTTTCCATTCCTGTAGTTCTATTGTGTTCATTAGTTCATTTTGTTCAATAGATTCCTCTTATAAGTGAAATCATATGGTACTTGTCTTTCACTGTCTGGCTTATTTCACTTTGCACAATATTCTCCAGTTCCATCCATGCTGTTGTAAAAGGTAGGAGTTCCTTCTTTCAGCTGCATAGTATTCCATTGTGTAAAGGTAGCACAGTTTTTTGATCTCCTCATTTATTGATGGGCACTTAGGCTGCTTCCAGCACTTGCCTATTGTAAATAGTGTGGCTATGCACACAGGGTGCATACATTCTCTTGAACTGGTAATTTGGAATTCTTTTTTATATATCAGCATTTTTTTTATTCTTGTTCTGTTACAGTTGTACCATTTTTCCCCTATTGCTCCACTGGGCACCACCTACCCCTTCCTCCAGGGTAAATCTCCACCTAGTTGTCCATGTACATGGATCATTTATGCCTCTTCATTGATTATTAGACCCTTACCCTTCTATCCCACCTTACCCCCCTCCCACCTCCCCTCTGGTCACTGTCAGTCAGTTCCTTGTTTCCATGCTTCCGGTTCAATTTTGCATGTTTGTTTTGTCTATTAGGTTCCTCTTATAGGTGGGATCATATGGTATTTGTATGTCACCACCTGGCATATTTCACTTAGCATAATACTCCCCAGTTCCATCCATGCAAATACCCAGCTCCATCATGCTGTTGTGAAAAGTAGTAGTTCCTTTTTTCTTTCTGCTGTGTAGTATTCCACTGGGTAAATGTACCACGGTTTTCTGATCCACTTATTTACTGATGGGCACTAAGGCTGTTTCTAACACTTGGCTATGGTAAATTGTACTGCTATGAACATTGGCATGTATAGGTTCTTTTGAATTGGTGTTTAGGGATTCTTAGTATATTGCCAGCAGTATAATCACTAGGTCAAAGGCAGTTCCATCTTTAGTTTTTGAGGAAATTTCATATGGTTTTCCACAGTGGCTACACTAGTCTGTATTCTCACAGTGTACTAGAGTTCCCTGTTCTCCACAACCTCACTGGCACTTGTTATTTGTTGATTTGGTTATGATGGCCATTCTCACCATCATAGTGTTATCTATTGTGTGAAGTGTTATCTCATTGGTGTTTTTAATTTGCATCTCTCTGATGGCTAGTGATGCTGAGCATCTTTTCATATGTCTCTGGCCCTCTGTATGTCCTCCTTAGAGAAGTGTCTGTTCAGTCATTTGCCCATTTTTTTAATTGGATTGATTGTCTTCCTTGTATTGAGTCATATGAGTTCCTTACATATTTTGTAGATCAAACTCTTGTCCAATGTATCATTGGCAAATATGTTCTTCAATATCATTGGATACTTTTCATTTTCAGGATGGTTTCTTTAGCCATACAGAAGATTTATATTTGATGCAGTCACATTTGTCTATTATTCCCTTTGCCCTAGGTTCTGTATTGGCAAAAATATTGCTACATGAGATATCTGTAATTTTACTGCCTACGTTTCCCTCTAGGATTTTTATGGTGTTATGACTTGTAGTTAAGTCTTCTCTCCATTTTTATTTTATTACAGTGTGTGGGGTGGGTTGGTGGTCTACTTTCATTTTATTGCATATACCATTCCAGTTCTCCCAACACCATTTATTGAAGAGGCTATTTTTACTCCATTGTATGATCATGCCCCCTTTGTCAAATATTAATTGACCATAGAGACATGGGTTTATTGCTAGACTGTCTATTCTGTTCCATTGATCTATGTGTCTGTTCTTATGCCAGTACTAGACTATTTTAATAAATGTGGCCATCTAGCATAGACTGTACCAGATATTGTGATCCACCCTTCTCTCACAAATTGCTGAGATTATAAGGGTATTATGGGAGGGGCTCATACATATATATTTTTGAAAACTTTGTGTTAGATCTTTGAAATATGCCTTTGGTATTTAAATATGAATTGCATTGAATCTATACATTGCTTTGGGTACTATGGCCAGTTTAATGATGTTAACTCTTCCAATCCATGAACACAATTTATACTTTCATTTATTTGTATCTTCTTTAATTGCTTTCTTCAGTGTTGTATAGTTTTCCTTTATTTATTTAAAGATGTTATTTATTTATTATTTTTAGACTGAGGGGAAGGAAGGGAGAAAGAAAGGGAGAGAAATACCAATGTGCAGTTCCCTCTCATGTGCCCTCCATTGGTGACCTAGACAGCAACCAAGGCATGTGCTCTTACTGGGAATTGAACTGGCAACCCTTTGGTTCACAGATTGGCACTCAATCAACTGAGCCATACAAGCCAAGTAAATGTTATATAGTTTTCTGGCTACATGTGTTGTAACTCCTTAGTCAGGTTTATTCCTAATACTTTATTTATGTTGTTGCTACAGCAAATGTAATTTTTAACATGATTTCTCTTTCTGATACTTTATTGTTGTTATACAAACTGTCTTCAATTTCTGAATATTGACTTTGTTTCCACTACTTTGAAAAACTCAAAAGTTAGATAAAGTGAGTTACAGTGAACATAGGGTGAACTAGTACAGTATGAAAAGGAAATAGAAACTATAAACAAGAACCAAAAAGAAAATGAAGAATAAAATACCTGAAATTAAAAAAAATACACTGGAAGGAATTACACAGAGGCTTGATGAAGCAGAAGACTGAATTAGTGAGCTGGAAGACAAAGTAGAAAGAAATACCCAGGTAGAGCAACTGCACAAAAAAGACTAAAAAATATGAAGACAGCTTAAGGGAACTGCAGGACACCACGAAATGCAAAAACATTTGAATCATAGGAATACCAGAAGGAGAAGAAAAAGAACAAAGGATAGAAACACTGTTTGGAAAAATAGTGACAAAAATCTTCCCTAATCTGTAGAGGAGAGAAGCCACAGAAGTTCTCTAAGCACAGAGGATCCAATTAAGATGAACCAAAAGTGGCCTACTCAAAACACACCATAATTAAAATTCCAAATTTTAAAGACAAAGGGAGAATCTTAAAGGCAGCAAGGGAGAAACAGGAAGTAACATACAAAAGAGCTCTAATAAGGCCAGCAGCAGAATTCTTAACAGAAACATTACAAGCCAGGAAGGAAAGGCAAGAAATATTCCAAGAAAGCAAAGGCCTAAACGAAAACTACTCTACCCAGCAGGGCTCTCATTTAAAATGGAATGAGAAATAAGAACTTTTTCAAACACAAGAAAGTTAAAAGAATATACCTCAACCAAACCAGGACTGAAAGAAATGCTAAAGGGATGGCTTTAAGAAGAGGAAAAAAAGAATGAGAGAGAGAGGAACAAAAGTACAAAAAGGGAAAATAATTAAGTACCTATCAATAATAAACTAGCAACCAACCTCAAGGAAAAAAACCTCAAAAACATTAGAATTCATAGAGATTGAATAGCATGTTATCCAACAAGGAATGGGTTAATAATGAGATCAAAGAGAAATAAAAAACTTTCTGGAAACAAATGAACTCACAAAAACCCAAAACTTATGGACACAGCAAAGGCAATCTTGAGAGGGAAGTTCATAATGATACAGGCCTACCTAAAAAATAGAAACATTTCAAATACATAACCTAAACCTACACCTACGAGAACTGTAGGAACAACAACAAAGACAGCCCAGAGCAAGTAGAAGGAAAGAAGTAACCAAGATCAGAGCAGAATTAAATGACATAGACACTAAAAGCACAATCCTAAGAATCAATAAATCCAAGAACTGGTTCTTTAAACAGATAAACAAAATAGACAAACCTTTAAGGAGACTCATCATGAAAAGGAGAACCCAAATAAACACAATCAGAAATAAACAAGGAGAAATTACAACTGATGCCACAAAAATAGAAAGAATTGTAAGAAATTACTACACACAACTATGTGCCAAGAAATTTGAAAATGTTGGTGAAATGGAAAAATTTATAGAAAAACTTAACTTTCCAAAACTGAATTAAAAAGAAGCAGAAAGCCTAAAAGACAAATAACAGCCCATGATATTGGAGCACTAATCAAAAAACTCCAGACACACAAAAACTATGGACCAGACAGTTTCACAAGTGAAATTTACAAAGCATTTAAGGAAGACCTAATCCCCATTTTTTCTCAGATAATTCCAAAAATCCAAAGAAGATAGAAGACTCCCAAACTCTTTTTATGAAGCTAGCATTATTCTAAACACAAAACCAGACAAAGACATAACAAAGAGACCTCCAGGTGAATATCACTGATAAACACAGATACTAAAATCCTCAGCAAAATATTGGAAAACTCCATCCAGCAATACATTAAAAACATCATACACCATGACCAAGTGGGATTCATCCCAGGGATACAAGGATCATATAATATTCACAAATCAATAAATGCAACACATCACATAAACAAAAGGAAAGACAAAAATCACATGATCATATCCATAGAGTGGAAAAAGCATTTGATAAGGTACAGCACCCATTTATGTTAAAAAAAACTCTGCAAAGTGGGAGTAGAGGCAGCATAACTCAACATAGTAAAGACTATATATATGAAACCTATAGCCAACAAGATACTCAATGGGTAAAAACTAAAATCTTTCCCACTAAGATCAGGAACAAGACAAGGTTGTCCACTTTCACCACTTCTATTCAACATAGTATTGGAAGTCCTAACCATGGTAATAAGACAAGAAAGGGATATAAAAGACATTCAAATTAGAAAGGAAGTAAAACTGCCATTGTTTACAAATGACATGATAGTGTACATAGAAAATCCAATAGACTCTGCCAAAAAACTGCTTGACCTAATAAATGAATTTGGCAAAACAGTGGGATACAAAGTTAATATTAAAAAAATCAAAGGCATTTTCATACACCACAGTGAAATATCAGAAACAAAAATCAGGAAAA